GATCTGCATTCCCGTTTTGGCTGAATTATGATTTTCGGCTGAAATTACATGTTTAAGTGAAATTACGTTAATTTCGGCCGGAATTATATTTCGGATTTCGGATTTCGGATTTTAGGAAATATGTGACCGTGTAATTTCAATTTTAAGGGGTAAATAATATCAAAAATAATAATAATAATAATTTTTTTTTTTTGTAAAAAAGTTTATATGTAAATTATGCATAAAATCATCTAATTATTAAAGATATTATGCTAATTTAATATAAATTTTTTGAAAAAAACTTAATATTTCCCACCTTCCACCTCTGACCACCCACCCCTAGGGATTTTAGTTCATTATATAATTTTTTTCTTTACACGAACGCGTATACAAAATACAAAAAAAAACGTGACGCGTCTTATGTACCCCCTAAAAATTAAAATTACACGACATATAAACTATTGTAATTTACTTTTATAATTTACACATTTTTAATTATAAATTATAAAAATTAATAGTTTAATTTATATTAATTATTTATTTTTTATTGATAATAAAAAAAAAAAGATTGTTAATTTCAGTAAATTGATAATTAAATTTACCAATCTACAAATAATTTGAATAAACTGAAATTATATTTTATTAAGCAAATTTAAACTTATATTATTTAGAATTTTACTATACCTCATATTTTAAGTTTTAGCAAATTAGTATAAATTTAAAATGTGATAATTTGATTTTTAGCAAATTAGATCTATTTTAGCAGGAGCAAAAAGTGCTAAATTTATGCAAATCAGTTATGAGTTATATATGTGATGTTCAGGGTCCTGTTAAATCTTTATGTACTGATGAAGTTGTTTTAGGGAATTAGTATCAGTATATTGAATTATCGGTATACAATTTACTGTATATAAATCATGTCTATTATTAAATTAACAAATAGTTAGATCTTAATAATACTAATGCTTTTAATTGAAAATAATATTAATACATTGAATATATTATGAGTAACATAATGTGAAGCAAATACTACCTGATTAATAGGTCAAAACAATTAAATTTTGGCAACTTTATAGTGCTAGTCTGAATTAATACTAGTGTAGCTAAAATATTGGTACATCTTTAATATATGTTATTATAAAGGAACCAAGAAAAAGTATCAGTATACGTTACATCATGAAATTATATATAATATCAATACAATGCAGTTTTTTTATTATATGTAAAATGGGACAATGAAAATTTATTGATACAGGAAATTATTGGTACACTGGGGATCGGTATATAGAGGGTTGACTGTAGTAGTTAGATTATATGGTGGTAAAAATAATGAATAACAGAAAAGGTTAAAGGGATAGCTAGAGTATAAAATAAATACTCAATATACAAAAATATATAGATTATATGGTGGTATTTAGATTATAATATTTAGATTATATGGTGGTATTTAGATTATATTATTTAAATTATATGGTGGTAGCTAGATTATATAGTGGTATTTAGATTATATGATGAATTGATGATACTATAATCTAGGGCAAGTGGGATACCACCATATAATATATAAGAAAAAAAAAAGAAAAAAAAGAAATCATTATATTATATGGTGGTATCCCAGTGGTATTCCACTAATGTTATTATAACATTTAATAAAATAAATATGCTATTTTTAATAAGTAATAAGATAATGTTTATAATACTTACATAATTTCCTCATGCATGATCTCTGCATATATAATTAAATTATTTATTCCTTTACTTTTCATTATTGTTGATATATTAGTCATTTTAGTTTAAGGAGCCCATTGTTATAGTAAAGAAAGTTTAAGATCTTAAGCTAATTCTAATTTGATAAAAAACAATGTAACCCCTTTAGTTTTTAAGCTTATATATTAAGCTTATATATAAAAATCAAAAAGTTTACATAATAAAGATAAAAAATCATTTATATTTTTAATTGTACAGCATCTTTTTTTTTTTACAAAATAAATAATTTCAAAAAAAAGAAAGGTGTTACTTGAAAATTTTTATGAACAATTTGATATATAAAATTATTATTGTTGCACTTTTACTATAAAGTTGAATTCAATCATATCATGCTATTTTATTACTAATGCCAAAATCAAATTTAGTTTTTACTGAATTTTTGGTTTTCATGCAGAAAGTATGATTAAAAAAGAAAGTGCAGTTACGGTATATCATTATCATATCATTTTGTTATACTAATGCGATATTGTATTTTTAAAGTCAAGGAATTCGGTGTTCTAAACATAAATTTTTTATGTAATTGTTTATAATATCTGCACCAATCCTAAGTTTATCCATTGTAAATTAATAGATCGAATATACGTTCGAAAAATTATCGGATACAATTGATAACCTTAGGACAAAAGAACTGAATATTTATTTGGCGTCGGTATCTTGCAAATTTCGGAGGTTTGCCATTTTGACAGGGACTGTTTAAGCGACAAAATCCAAAGAAAGGTTAGTTGATATTTATCCGTTCTATCTTAAACCAATTTTTTGCACTTGATCATTAGTATAACATCTGAAATAAGCGATAAATAAATTTTCTATCAACATTATTTGTGTGAAACTTTTAAGGATCCAACCCGATTTTTGGTTTCATTAAAATTACGTGTCAAGATAAACCATAATTGCAAGAAACTCATCAATCATTTTAAAATGATTAACCATAATTATAAATGATTAACCATAATTGGAAGAAACTAGATTAACCATAATCGGCATAAATTTACTTTTTTTTTTAATAATTCCACCGATCCTGACATGATTGATTTTTTTATGTAACGTTTAATTTTTCTCAATTTGGAAGATTCGGATGATTGCACTATATAAACAAATACCAGTCTTTTATTTTAAACAAATAATATTTAAAGACGTAAACCAAAATTTATCACAATCCTTTAAAATATGGAACAAGTAAAACTAACAGCTATATCAACAAAACTTTCAGAAGAAGAGGACACAGATGAGGAATCAGAATTCCTTCCGTCATTCACACAACCTACAACACTTCCACATTCGTTTTCAGCAACAACTGTAAGCGAGAACACCGAGATATTGGACGATAAAGAATGGCTCATTAAAAGCAAGCACATTTCTACCGGAAGTTCTTCCCGAAGAAGTCATCATAATGGAGAACATGCAGGACGTGGTCAAACTTCAGGAAATCGAAGAATGAGTCTGAATTTTGATAAATCAGAACATGTTATAAAAATGTGTGCAATGGCTTGTGCGTGTACGTTTGGGGTTGGAAGTCACTTTGCTTCACATATTATTGGACCTATGAAGGGAATATTAATGGAGGTATTGTATCTGTTATACACACTAGTTTATATGCTGATAATCTTGCAATTAATTTTAATATTAATTACCCTACTTTGCTCTTTATGATAAAAAAGCAACTTGATCTCACAAATACTCAATTTTCACTATTGGTCGCATCTCTTACTCTATGTAATACGGTGATCCCAATAGTTTCAGGGCTTCTTGTAACAAGATTTGGAACTACTCGTAGTTCCTTGGTTATAACAACAATAATTCTATTAGGAATGATCATTTTCACTGTCGCGAGTTGGAATGGCAAAGTTGGAATTATGATCGTTGGATTTATTGTTTTTGGGTAAGAGCAATTCTTTTGATCCAATTTATTCAAAATATTAAAAGTCTTAGAACTCAATGCTTTTATTTATATCTCAGTATGGGTTTGGCGCCTTTAACAATTGTCCAAGAAACTATTATTGTCCAATTTTTTCAAGGAAATGGATTAGGATTCGCTTTAGCTGTTGGATTGACATTAGGGAGATTAGTAAGTATTGCAGGCTTAATAATTATATTATTTCTTTCTTTGTTTTCTACGATTTTAATATATATGAAAGTAATTATTATATAACGTATTTTATATAAATTGTTATAGGCCTCATTTATTGCTACCGTGTTGGCCGTTCCATTATCCTTAATGGAGCCATTAACATATGTTACACCTTTCATAGTAGCCACTGCCACGTGTGCAGTGTCATGGATTATGAATATTATATATGTATATATAATAAAACATGCCGACAATAGGAGAAATCATAACAAGGAAAGTGCTGCCTTGCATTCGGTGGTGGGAAAGAAAACTGTTCATTGGAATGCTATATTCGATTTGTCAGATATTTTTTGGTGGTTTTTGGTTGTAGGAGTTTTATTTGGAGCTGCAATGTCGCCTTTCCTTCATTTATCAAGGTTAGTTAAACATGTTTTTTACGTGTTTCTTACTTAAACAAAATTTTTAATATGTTTAATTTGTTTTAATTGATTTAATTGATCTTGTTGGATAATTATGCAGCAATATAATTAAACATAGGTTTGATACAACAGATATTTTGGCCGCATGGGAATCTTCTGTAATATTATTATTACCAGTAATATTATATCCTTTTTTAGGATTATTTTTGGATAAATTTGGTTATAGATTATGGATATGTAAGATCATTAAAAATTTTTTTTTTTTTTTTTAACTTGTTACACATATAATATATTTTATCTGTTTTATAGTAATATTTGGATCAGCAGCTATATCGATAACTTACTTATTGTTACTCTCACCACCACATTTAATACACCCATTTCCGCCGATATTCCTCTTCGCTGTGGCTTATGCGGCAGTTCCTCTTACTATGGTCACCCTTATTCCACTGCTCACGAAAAATGTTTCAACTGGTCTTGGACTACTGAAAAGTGTAGATAATATTGGTGCAACACTTAGTCAAACATTTGCTGGAATATTGCTAGATGCGCATATAAGACATAAAAAATATTTAATTGATGACGAGGGTATAGAATATGGTCATGAGGATGATGATTTAGTAGCCTTAAAAATGTTTGCTATATTAGGTGGTTGTTTGTTTTTGGTCTCTTTGATATTCTGGTGGATGGATAAAACGTATAAGAGAGGAAGTTTAAATGCTAAATATGAAGGTGAACATCATAATGATAATAATAATAATTATGGACACCTGAGTACTAGTGAAGAAGAAGAAGTGCATAATACAGGACAAATGCACATGATGATTGTGGAAGATGAAATCTCTTATGTTAGGGATGCATCTTTTGAGAAAAGAAGAAGAACTCTTATTTATATGGGAATTTTAGGTATAATGATGATAATATGTTGGATTGTTTTTGGAGTTGTGGCTTTTGAAAAAGCTGGAACAAGTGCTTCCGACGAAAAGGAGCCGGAATAAATTATTATTTAAGAAAGACTTTTGCTTAAAAAATAGATTATATTACTTTTTATGAATAACCTACGACTTTTGAAATTCATTCCTTGTAAAAAAAAAAAAATAATATACAATTAAATTACCATGAATTATAATTTAGACTTTAAATACTAATGATTAAATAATAATTTAATAAAAAATATATAAGCGTGTAATACTTAAAAACAGAGCAAGTTATAATAAATTAAATTTTCTTTTTATTTTATTATAAATATTATAAGTACAAAGAATTAATAAATACAAAAATTATTATTGTAACAATTTTAAAGATTAATAAATTATGTAAATTCTTTTAATTGTTCCTCCCAATTTTCAGGAACTTCTTCGTCACCATCTTCCGTAACAACTATACCATCTGATGTATCAAAATCCTTAATCCAAGCATCTATTTTTTTTTATAAAAAATATTATCAAGATGATATCAAATTGAGTTCTAATTATAAATTATGAACATACCTGAATCTTCTCCCTTGTTTGCATCAAATAAGACTTCTTTATTTGATAAATTCTCTTGTTGCTTATGCTTTTTTTTTGTTTCCAGCAAAATATTACAATTCAATGAGTTTACTTTAAATTTGATATAATAACAATTTATTGTAATATAATTACCTCTTCTTTTTTCTCCTCTTGTTTTTCTGTAGTTTCCATGGATGTTGATTCTTCAATAGGATCTTTCTGAAATACTTCATTTTCTAAGACTACAGAGTCAATTGAACCTAATGAAGTTTGTTTAATTAAAGACACTCTGTAGAAATAATTCCTCCAAAACATTGGTTCCTGTACACTTAAATTTTTTAAAAAATTATTAGTAATAATCTTCTATCAATTAATTAATTTACACAATTCAAATACTTACTGAGCTGGAACCAATTCAAAACGCATACGATTGAGATTAGGATCAGCATTCAAAGCAGCTGAAGCAGTTTGAAAATAAACATTCATATCGAATTGAAAATTTGTGTTTTCTGGTGGGGAAATTGTGAAATTTCGTTTATTCTAAAAGATGTGGTAAAATAATATATCACATAGTTTATTAAATATTGTTCTTAAGGATTAAATATGAGTATTGACAATCCCTTACTTGGGATAAAGCTAATATCTGTTGTTTAAGGCCTTCTTCATCCGGAAGTCCTACCCAAGGAGCGACGGCTTCTAAAATCGGGAATTTGAAGTATGTTAATTTAATTCTGAAATTGAATTAAAATAAATAAAACTAAAAAACTAAACAATACCTGTTCCAACATTAGGTTTGTGTGATTCTTCATTAACTTGTTTAACAAATTCTTCATGCTCGTTCTGTAGATTTCTTGTAGTTTCTTCCACTTTTTGTTGAATTGTTTTTGTTAAAGACGCGACACTAGTAAAAGCAGTTGTCGCAAATGCTGAAAAACCAATAATTGAAAGTAGTCAGGAGATTTAAACCTCTCTAACGGATAATTCAAAAATCAATTCACTTACAAGAAAACATTGCAGTATTTACAGTTTTTGGAACCTGCATATTTTTCACGGATTCTGGCACATTGTTCATAACGGTTGTCGGAACATTCTTTACAGCGTTAGTTAGATCTAATTTTTTCATTGCTTCCGGAAGCTCAATGTTTTTAACTGCAGCTGGAAGTTCAAATTTCTTTACGGAAATAGGAAGCTCCATATTTTTAACAGCAGATAGATCTATATTTTTTACTGCCGAGGGAAGTTCGATATCTTTAACTGCTTGAGGTATTTCAAAATTCTTGACTACTTTTGGCACTTCCATATTTTAACGTATTGGTTAAAACGTTATTGGACTTTAATTGATCATAACTAAGGAATTAGATTTTCACACATTTAAACATCGAAAATCTAAATAGTACATCAATTTTGAAGACATATAGACATATATTTGGCCCGTGACACGTCTAGGCCAATTTGTTTGTTTAACATATAATACCAGTTTTGGTGAAATTATGGCGTTTACCCGCGTCTGGCCGGCATTAAGAAATCAACCATGTTTTTGAATGTTGAGAAAATAATATCACGGTGTCATGTGGTGGTAGAAAAACCGATCATCATGTGTGAAATCTGGCCAATAAAGAAATTCAACCATCAATATCTGGTTTATATTTTCTCTCATTCTTTAAGCCCTTCACAATAATTTCTTCCTTTGTACCTAAATGTGATATTCAAAATGCCGGATGGTGACCCATTTTTTACAGTTAAAGAGTATATATAATAATCTATTTTAAATCTTAATTGTATATTAGCAACCGTTGAAATTCAATTCCTTTTTTTTTATTTTAGAGATATAGAAAATAATGTTGCAACAGCATTGACGTTATTTAATAGTTGGAATCGTATCTACAATACAGTTTCATCTAGGAATAATGAAGAACTAAAGAGAACAGAAGAAGAATTAAGGACAACTTTACAAGAAATAATAACTGATCTAGACGATGTAGAAGAAACAATAAATATCCTTTTCTTGAATAGAAAAAAAATTTTATAATTCTTCTTAATTATCGAATTCATTATCCTTAACAAATTGAAATGTATATTGAATTAAATACAAGTTGTTGAAAGTAATCCTGATAAATTTGGTTTAACAAAGACTGAAATAGAATCACGTCGTGAATTCGTTGAACAAACAAGACAACGATTACAGGTAAGTAAATCATTATTTTTTTCTTTTAAGAAATTATTATTAAAATTATATTCACATTTAATTTAGGAAATTCGATTAACATTGGATGACCCTCCGAAACGATTAAATTCTACGGGAAATCATCAAGTATGCTCTGCGAAAAAATAAATTTTATTATCTATTTTCTTTTGCTAAATTTATCTTTACAACATATTCCTTATTTAGGAATTAATTGACGGATATAAGTCAACAAAAGTTTTTGAACAAGTTAGATCAAAATCAAGATATGAAGAAGTTATAGAAATGGATAATACTAGATTCATAGAAAATGAAGCTCAACAGCAAACTGTTAAGATTAATTATTAAAATTATTCGATTTTTTTTTTGGAAGGAAATATAATTGAATAAATTATTTTATTTTAATAGATTTTGATGAGAGAACAAGATGAGCAATTAGAATCATTGTATGGAACCGCTAAGAATATTCACGAAATTGCTACTACAGTGGGAACTGAATTAGAGGATCAAAATATGTATGACAAGTTTATTTGTAGGATAGTAGATTATGTTGAAATTGCTTAAACTTATTTATCTTTAGGTTGTTGAGTGAATTTGGAGAACAAGTAGATAGAGCTCAAGGAAGATTAGAAAGAGCCATGAAGAAAGTAGCTTATGTTATTAAACAAAATGAAGGTAAATTCTGACTGATATATTGTTTAATTAAATATTGTTTAATATTTATTAACATTTCATTAATTATAATATTATTATATTACTTTCTTTAGAATCAAAATCGAATTGTTGTATTGGAGTTTTAATTGTTGTATTAATTATTTTGCTAATATTAGTTGTAGCTGTTTAACAATAAGAATATATTGTATTACTGGTAATTTAGTCATGTTTATAGGTTTACAAAATAATTGTTTATTAGAAAATATGTTTAATAATTTATTTGGGAGAACAAAAAGTATAATTGTTAAAAGTAAAAATTTTTTTTCGCTTAATTTTACTTACTCATAAAATAGGGCAATGAGAATTATTCGAAGTGATAATTAACCAGCGTAAATTATTAGACCACTCCGAATATAGTCCGATCGGGGTCAATTACTTTTGGAGATTTTAAAAATTAATCGAATTAATAATAATAATGGCTAGTATTCTGTAGCGATCGGCCTTCATCTTGGTTCTTCAATCCCTTGCTGATTTTGAAATAATTTTCTTTGAAAATTCATTAATAAAAATACAGTACATAATACCATAAATTCCGGTCAATAACAAATACTGCAATACAAAACCAATCCGTTAAGAATTCATAAAAATCGCTTTAAATTCGTAACATCTCAAGTTAGATAACAAATTATATTCACACCGTCCATGTGTTATAATTTAAATAACGAAAATCACTACTCAATTTTATGGTAACAGGTTTTGCATGAGAATCTTATATAAAAGGTGATCTTTTTCGGGGGGAGTTCATTTGTTTGTATTCGTTTTCTTTTTTTAATAAAAAAATGCCTGTAGAAACTTTTATCGATAGTATTATCAGAAATACCTGATATTGAGAGAAATGATATTTAATTAATAAAACTTGATGTAAAATTTCAATCTTAGTACTCTTACATATTTTCTTGACAACGAAAAAAATCTCTTTTAAACATCAATGAATTATTCACATGATATATATCATTACAATCTTTTGATTATCCTTACTTTACATTAATTTATCTTATACTCACTTGGAACGTAAAATTCTAATAATAATAATATTGATGACAAAATATTATTTGAATGAATGATATTAAAAAAAAAATCTAAAGGAATTGAAGTTTTAAAAAAAATTAATGTAAAAATTTTTTTAAATTTTATTTAAATTATAATAATTATAATTTAATAAATTTTTTTTAAATGAATTTGTTGATCATAAGAAGGAGGAATTTCTTTATATGAATTATTGTCCAGAGCAAGGAAATAATTCTTATTAATTTATTAATTTCCTTTAAAATTTATTTTATTTTACAAGAATTATTTGTATTTTACTATTCTTGAATATTATATTTCTAATTAGTTTAACCGTAAATTTGTTCTTAAAATTTTAAAAAATTGTAAAAATTTAAAAATATTAGATTTTGGTGGTCAAAGTATGATAGTAATTACTAGACAATGTTATCACATTTAAGGATATTTTCTTAAAAATTGCTGTTCATTTCTCAATGTAATAGAAATTGAATGTTATGCAAGTAAAAGATTAATTAAAGAATTTGCTAATTAAATATTAAAGTTATAGTAGGTCTTAATCCCCAGATAGTTGATAGGTGTACAACAAATAATTTTGGTGGGAACTGATAAAATAATAAACGTGGTTTCTTGTCATTCACAGATATAATCGTTAATGATATTAGAAAATAGATGGGAGATTTTCTAGTATTCAAGGGATAAAGATAAATTGCTTGTATATAAGACATCCTAAAGTTGTTTCCTTCAAGATAAGGACGATAATATGATTAGGAATAAATATTATATTGCCAAAGAAGAATATTGTATTATTTATGAGAGTGAAGAAACGAAGAAACGAAGAAAGTGAAGAAAACGAAGAAAGTGTAGTAAGCGAAGAGAATGAAGAATAAGACTTACATAAGACTTATAAGGATACAAAATCCTCAGGTAAGAATATTGTATTTGTTGCTCTTTATATCTTTATTGATCAATCAAATATTAAAATTTATTTTCTATTTTATAATATATACAGTAAATACTCACCTGCGAATGAACAGATTTGAAAATGGACAATTGGACATTTTTTTTTCATTAAATAAGTCACTTTCTTCTCTCGTCAACCCCTTTATAGTCATCCTACATATAGTCCATGAAGAAATTAAAAATCTACTTTTTAATACATATTCATCAAAAGAAATGAATTTTTAAAAAGTGTGGAAATCGGGTGATCTGATTTCACGGGGTGGTTAGTGGTTACCAATAGTGGATTACGTAGAAAAATTATAAAAATAAATATCCAGTATTTTAAAATGATAATCTTCGAATGTGATATATGTGTTTTTGTAATTGTACAGTTTATTTAAATAAATAAATAAATAAATAAATTTTTTAAATATAATAAATTACTTGATCTATAAAAAAATCTTCACTCTTTTTTTTATTTAAATAACATTCCTATTACGCCATTTCTTAATTCCTGCAATCAATACGAGACTATACGCAAAAGCAACAATTATAAATCTGTTCGCTTTTGAACCACCTTGTGAAGAATTCCCTCCAAATAATAAAACAGTATCTATAAAAGATTTCCAAAAAGAAGAACCTGTAAAAGGAATCTTTTTATCAATAGATCTTTTATTATTGTTTCCTTTTGTATTTGATAGAAATTCATCGAATGATGAATAAGCTGGCCTATCTGATCTGGTACTATTTTCAACCAAACTTCCTCCACTAAATGAAGCATTCCTTCTATGATAATTATGCTGTAAGGAAGAAGATGAGGAAGATGATGATAAAGATACAGAAATTGATGATGATGATCTTTTTGGTACTTTTGGTATGAATGGAGTATTTGTAAGCATTTTTGAAACGCTTTGATGTGGCATTTTGGAAAGTAATTTATTCAATTTTTTAACCGAGGCTGGCAATTCTCTCGTTGATACTAAGAAAAATGACGAATTAATAAATCTTTTTTTAAATTAACTATAAAATTTTTTAAAATTTATTATATCCTTACCTAATGTAATTACGGATTTAGGAATCCATCCTTTTGGATTGGCATCAGCAATTTGAACTACAAAGCACTTATTTGGTTGATCTTTGATAGGCGTAACAACCACACCAGCGCAACCAGCTTCAATTCTAATAACTCCCGATTTTTCAGGACAAAGTTTATGTTCAATACTTTTATTAACCATGACCAATCTACCATCTTCAAGCTGTGTCGAATATCCAATAGTAACAACATCCCTTGCTGATGTTGGAAAGACTGCTTTCATTTTGATATACTTTTTAAAGGAATAAATAAATATATAATTTTTTTTCAAAGTAACACCAACTTTAAAAATTAAAAAAAAAAACAATAAATAAATAAATATATATATTACCTGAACTCTAGTAGATTCATCAATAGTTTCAATAATTCCAGCTTCATCAGTCATAGGATCCCATTCAGATCTTCTTCTAACATCAGCTAATAAATCAAAAGTAGTTTGTGGTGTATTTTCCATCGTACCCATAATTTTAAAGCAACAATCTGATACTTTGGAATTTTGATAAACTTTAATATCCGTATCTTTATCTTCATAAATTAAACTCCATGGCGCGTCATCATCTTTTGTATCGACAAACTCTAGAATTGTTCCTAATAATCGTGTTGTTATTTCTGAATATTTATTTTTTGACGCTAAAATAAAATAAATTAAAATTGTAGATAATTAGATAAATAAATAAAATTCTTTTTTTAAGATTAAACTATAATTACCAACTATTGGCGGATTAAGTGAGAAATTTTGTGTTGAAGAAATTTGTCGAGAATTTGTTGATGCATTTTTATTATCTTCATTATTATTCACTTGTTTTCCGGAAGAGTTTATAGACCTTTTGGTATTATTATGATTATTATTATGATTATTATTATTATTAGATTGTCTTAATGTCTTTCCTGAAAGATAATTAATTAATGCTGTAGATAAACTCGGTATACCAAGTAAATGATGATATGCAAAAAAGAAGACTAATTGAAAAAATATAAAGTGAAGACTATCTAATGACCTAGAAAGAATGACTATTTTATAAAAATAAGAGGTAAAAGTAAAAATTTTTTTTTAGTGATTATGAATGAAAGAAAGAAGAACCGCAACTTTATGAAAGTTTTAATAACTTACGTTTATTCATTTGATATAATACCAAAGGAGGAAATCCCAATACGACGATTAATGATGCTATACTTGTCTCGGAATTCATTATTATTAAATCTTTACGAATATTTTATTCGTAGTGTTGATAAAAATTTTGATGAAGAGATGAAAAATTCAGTAAAAGATTATTTATAATTTGGTGATCCATAATAAGTTAAATATGGCAAATCGGCGCCAATAATCTTCTAATATTTAATAAATGGTTTTTTTTTAAAATGTAATGACGGATGTTACACGAACGTCCACGATATGTACCATGCAGGTGTGTTATTATCACGTGACTCGTAAATAAAATTCTTACATTGTTAATGACACTATAAGTAGTATAATTAAATCACCATTGTAAAAATTTGTTGTACTTTTTTTTAAGTTCGACGGTTTGTCAATTGAAGAGAAATAGTAATAATTTACATGAAAGAAAACCGGTTAATTATTTACATCATGTGACATCAAATAAATGGCGTAATAAATTCTACTTTCTTGAATAGGAATATTATTTTGACAATAAACACTTTCCTTTGTGAGTGAAAGTTCCAGACTTTGTTTCAAGTCTGAGTTTATCAAAGAATTTATTTCAAACTTTTCAATTTCACAATTTCATATTAACGCATTTTACATTCTAATAAAAAAGATTTAATAATATATATATAAATATTTACTAAGTATTTCAAATATAGGATAATTACATTTTAATCTAAAGATGAGTAATAATATTTTTTATTAAATCTGTTGGCAATAAATAGATTATAATCTAGAATCTTCAAATGCAGAATTAAGGAGGAATGTAAACAAATTTATCATTATTTGAAACTATTTGAAACACAAACTTATTATATGTAAACAAAGTATATAAATGTTTGCTGCTCCGGCATCCGGATTGATCCGGATCAACTCGGATAAATACGGATATTCGGATGGGAAATCCAAAAATTATTAAAGATTGGATAGAATGATCATGTGACTTTTCGATAGAAACATCAAATACCGCAAATACCAAATCAATTACATTTGCCACATTTTTTTTTTTAAAAAAAAGTGAAGGTTTCTTGAACTATTTCATTTTCGTTTTAAATGATTTATTCCATAAAGGAGTTAATTGAATTAATTAAAATAATTATTTAGAACAATCAGATTCTAGAGATAACAAACCTTAGTTCAGAAAATGGATCATTATAGAATAATTTTTGTATTATTAATATTCTTAATCGTAATTATTGCAATTATTAATGTAATTATAAAATGTAATATTAAAATTCGCCAAATAACATACGTTTTTCTTTTTTTGGTTAGTAATTAGTGATAAGATTCGTCCAGTTAAATTAGAAATACCTAAAAGAGTAATTTAATTCTACGTGTGAATGTGGGAAGTGATCTTTGGTTCTTTGGGAAAATAAAACTAACTTACGCTTTTTATTAATCAAATTGTGAAATGATTACAAATACTGTATAAAAAATTACCGTATATAAATGATTTCGAAGATTGAACTTTTTCATTGAGAAATGATTAAGAAATGATTGGCCTATTGATTATAATTATTAATGTCAATTTCACTAATTTTATATTACTATCTAAGACCATCCTAAGCTTGAATAACAGGTAATTTTTAATATATCTTATTTTATTTCTTATTTAATAAAATTAAAAATTTTTTTCTTTTAATTTTTAAAAAAACTTGAAAAAGGTATTGTAAAAAATAGTATAACAATAAGGATATATATAGTAATATTCGATATTCAAAACAATATTAAATAATTTTTTCTAAATATATAGATATGAAACATAATCAATGGTTAATTAATCTGCAATTTTTTGCATGTACACAATGCAATTTTTCTTTCTATTATGATGTACGACGTGCATTGCCTTGCATTGGCATGATTAAGTATTTTCCGACCTATTTTTTATGAATAAAATTAAAATTCCACTTTTACCCTTAATATTACAAGAAATTCCTTTTTCCTTATTTTTTTTTTTTTTGAGGANTTTTTTTTTTTTTTCTACTTTTTTTAAAATATGTATAATAATAAAAGGAAATTTCCACCAAATTTACCTTTGGATTGTATTGTTGAAATATTAGAATATCTACGAAATGATAAAAAAACACTTTTTTCAAATCTTTTCGTAAATCGAACATGGTGTCAACTTATTATACCATTATTATGGTATCGACCTTTCGAAATAAGAAATAAAGAAAATATTAAGATAATCGATACATTAATTTTATGTCTTTCAAAACGAGAAAAATTAAAATTTCTAGAAAAGATGAATGGAAATCGAAAAATGATTAATATAGAAAGGACACCGATATTTGATTATCCACATTATATAAGAGGATTAGATTATAGAAATCTTGAATATTTAATTGAAAGTTGGGTAACAAATTCAAATGATAATCTTTTACCTCGTAATATTGAAATATTTTTATTTAATCTTATCGGAAATTTAATATTTACTCGTTCACGTGGATTAACAATTTTAACTTTAGAACATTATGATTATTATTATTATAAATTTAGAAAATCAAATTATACAAGTTTTAAAGAAATTTTATCTTTTAATAATATTAAAAATACTTTGGAAAATTTACAAAAATTGGAAATTAAATTTTTTTCAGAAATTTATGATGAAAAAATTAGTTCAGAAATAATATCAAATTTATTCTTTACCTTATCAAAATATGCAAATAATATAAAACATATTTATATTGATGTTTCAGTTGAAGAAACTATTTTATTCTCCCAAATTTGTGATTCTTTTACAAATTTAATTGAATCTCAATCAAATCTTATAACTTTAGAAGTTAATCAATATTTGGGTTTTTCTTTTGTTAATTCTTTATATACTCAATCAAATTCTTTAACTCTTCTTAAAATTAATTATTTAAAAAATTTTCATACTTTATTACCAGCTCTTAGTGCTTGTATAAATTTAGAAACTTTGGAATTTTCAGAATATTTTATGATTGAAGATATTGATGATTTGGTTACTTGTGTAAATAATTTATCTCCTATTTATATCAAAAATTTACTTGCTTATAGAATTGATCCTGAAAGTATTGAAGAAAATTTTGCTTCTTCTATGATGATTTTAATTAAATTATCTGTAAATACTTTAAAATCTTTAACTTTAGATCATGTTAATCAAGGAATACTTGAAGTAATAAGTATTAATTGTCCTAGAATTATTTATCTTTCTTTAAATATTATTCCTGAAGAAATTTCTTTTTTTTCTAAAATTTTATCTTCTTTAACTTGTTTAGAATCTTTGATTTTTATAGAAGATTTTACTGGTGATTTATCTTTTCGTAAAAGGAATATTTTACTTGATATTGCAAGTAATTTACCTTATACTTTAAAATATTTTGGTTTTTGGACTATGGATTATGATATTTTATATGATTTTTTACAAAATATTCATGTTTCAATACAAGAATTGGATATATTTAAAGGTTTAAATGATGATGAAATGAATATTATAATTAATTTTGCAAGAAATAATGGAAATTTAAAAAAATTTGGTTATAAAAAAGTTTTTTCAAATGAATCAAATGTATCTGATTTATGTTTTAATGAAGCAAAATCTATTATTCCAATTATTGGTGAAGCAAGACATATTAAACATTATGTAATTAATTGATTAGAGAAAAATCTGTGAGAAACTTAAGAAACACTGAGAAAACTTAAGAGAGAATTTGAGAATTTGAGGATTTAAAAAAAAAAAAAAAAAAAAAAAAAAAATTAAAGGTTCCATTCAAACACGATTTACACTTAACCGTGTTACACTATTACAAACACTTTTATTGTAAATTTACTAATATAGATAGTATTATTTTACCGAGTGTGATATTTACTGTAGATCAATGGTTTACATACTTTTTGAATCGAAGANTTTTTTCTTATTTTTTAGGATCTTCTTGGAACTATTTTGATCCTTTACAATATGTTGAATGATCCTTTACAATATGTTGGAATGAATGGAATAAAAAAATTATTATGTTATGATAAATAAAAAAAAAAAATTGTAAAATAAAAAATATTATATAATTGGACTTGTAAAGTTCAAAATAATACATATTATAATAAAAAATTCCGATCGGAATGCGTACAAGGTCAAAAAAAACGAAAATATACAGTATAATTTCTTATCGCAAAGGAATGAGATTTTACTAGCGTAAAAATTATTAAAAATATCAGAGCGACAGGATGCTTTGGCAAGTTGAACCCTCCTGCTGGAAAAGAAAGACAAGGAAATGTTTCATAAAAATTATTAAAAATATATAAAAAAACAAGTAAGGAAATGTTTAACATTTATCGTCCCATCAACTATAATCATCCGTTCATCAACAAAATTTTTAATTTTCTTTTTTTTTCCTAAAAGTTTTATTGATCTTTAAATTTAATCCGTTTAAAGTTACATAACCTGATTCAATAGCAGTCGAGAAACACTCTTTTTCCTCGAATTCTGCAAATGCGCAGTTCTAAGAAGAAAAAAAAAAATATTGAATTATACAAACGCAAAGTATTTATATAAGCACAAAAGTTTTTTTTTCTTACCTTATTACGAATAATTCTAATGAATCTAACATGTCCAAATTTATTCTCTAGACATTGTTTGAGTTGATGCACATCAATATTTTCTTTACCGATACCCACGTAAATTGAATTGAATCCTTTGTATTCTCCAAAAAAATCTTCATTGATTTCATTCGTTTCATTATAATTTCCTTGATAATCAGATGTAGATGTCGATTGCAAATTATCATTTTGTTCATGTTGTCCATTTTGTCTATGTTGTCCATTTTGTCCATATACTCCATTTTGTCCATGTACTCCATTTAGTCCATGTTGTCCATTTTGTCCATAGTATCCATTTTGTCCATGTTGTCCATTTTGTCCGGATGAAACAAAATCATTTCTAACTCTGGGAAATTCGTTAGAGAAAGAAGCCCCATTGACTTTCGTAGAACTTCCTCCTTTAGTTACTTCTTTATATAAATTCGGTGAATTTGGCAAATTGATGATGTTATCATTTTCTTTAATTTGTGGAGGAGAGAAATGATTTTGTGGAGGGGAGAAATGATTTTGTGAATTTTCTGGATATACGAATCCATTATTCTGCTCAATTTGACCGAATGTATAATCATTTTTTTTATTCTTGGTAGAGAATACATTTCCGAATTTTATATTATCGATCTTGCCATCTGATCCTTTTTTTTTTTTTAAAAAAAAAAATAATAATAATTAAATGAATGTTTATAAAAAATAAAATAAAATAAAATAAATAAATTATATATATCTTATATTACATACCTTTAACTAAATCTCTAAAACTTTTTACGAAACAAATTTCATCACGAATACTTTCTACATTGGTATGCATAGCATCACATTCCAAATCCTCATGTTGATTACTATTTTTAGTATTATAATTATTACCAAATTTTTCTTGAAATTCTTTTGAATCTTTTAATAATTCCCTAATTAAAGATCTTTGAATAGAAATCAATTCATTTTGAGCAGTTGTTATTTGATTATATTTTAAAAGGGAATAACTTTTATTATTATCTAAACTATTTTTAGTATTTTCATATCCATTACATAATGATGAAGAAATAATTGAAGTATTTTCAGAAACATTATCACCGTGGTTCATGTTTAAAGACATATGAAAGGATGAATATTATTAACTGGTAAGTGGGATACACGAAGGGTGAGGAAATGAAAAATAATATGTATTATGAAAATTACGGAAAGAGATATTATTATAATAAATTTCTCAGTTGATTTAATTTATATTGATTCAAATAAAAAATTTTTATTATTCGTTACTTAAAAAATGATCTAATATTCAATATGCTCTTATGTAATCCCGTCAAACTTTCAATACAGAAATAGACGGAGGAAAAAAAAAAAAAAAAAAATTTTTTTTTTTTCCTTAAAAAATAAACCGTAAGCCACAACTTCCGATACTTCACATGACTTTATAAATCCCACTAAATGTTACTGCGGAAAAGAACTTGTTCATGTGGTTTTGTGTACGACAATAAACAAAAGGGTTTGCTTTACATAGGACAAGCCGATTGCCTTTATTTTTTTACATTTTTATTTTTTTTCTCTTCTTTTAATTTTTCTTAATAAAGACAACAATAAAAATTAACTAATGAATTGTAGAGAAATCCATTGTTCATTAATTTTTTATTGATTTTTTAAGGGAGTATAAAAAAAGAACAAAAGATTTACTCATTATTTTTTTTAGATGGATTATATTTTCAGAACTTAAATTATGGGAATGTTTATGATCGATCAATTAACCTTAATAGGTCTGGTACGTTGAAATTTACGCATTAAACCTTAAAAGTTCTATTCCGAAAATCATTATCATTTTAGTATAGGAAATTCATCACATTAACAATAAACGATCATTTCACTAAGATTTTTCTAACGATTTACCCGAAACAAAAACAAAAGGCTTTGAAAGTATGAGAACTTTGATACAAAATAATGTAACATAGAAAGTAACACGTAATTATTAATCATTATTAATCTTCTAACCTTAACCTCATAATTCCTGGTATTTCTGGTATTAATTCCTGTATTTCTAGTATTTATAGTGATTCCCGTAATTCCCGTAATTCCGTAATTCCGTAATTCCCGTGATTCCCGTGATTCCGGGCTATTCATATTAATATATTTAATTAAAAATTCTTTATTTAATTAATATTCTTTACAAAACAACAAAAACATGGAAATTCAATAAGGTAACGTTATACGTAATCCACGTAATCCACAACTAGCACCAGTTCCATTCAAAAAATTTGTTGATCGTCAATTATAACGTAATACAATTAACACAATAACACAATGACATACATTACATACATTTCATGTTTATCTCGGGGTGTCCTTTGTTGCCCTTTTTGCTATGATCAAACAACTTTTTTTTTTTTAACCTATATATATAACTTGGGTGAAGAACTTTTTTTAAAGGTAAAAATTTCATACCACTATTATTGATTCAAAAATATGGAAGATAACCTTTGTAAAAAAATTTTGAATAAATTGACTGATATTAATGAATCAAAGCTTACCTTAACTCAAATTCCACCAGAGATTCTTGAAATAATTTGCGGATATTTATGTCCTAAAGATCTATTTTCTCTAACTTTAGTATGTAAGAAATTAAAAAATTTTTTGTGGTCATTTGATTCCAATATGACACAACGTATTTGGCGTAACTCAAGAATCAGATGGTCAACTTTTGTTGAGTATAAAGGAGTTCCTCCTCCTTCTGAAGAGATTATGTCCCAGCAAAAGTGTATTTGGCTTATTGATTTGGTTGATGCTTGTCAAATTTGTGGAGATAAACGAAAAGATGGTTCAAGGATTTATTGGCCTTTTAAACTGTATAGTTGTAAAAATTGTATAGATTCTCGTGTTATAAGGTATTTGAAAAAAAATATTTTCTTCTTTCAAAACATTAAATAAATTTTATTAACAAAAATAATTTTTTTTTTTTTAGCTTTGAATCAGCAATACAAAAAGGAATTTCGGGCTCCGTATTTTATTCTTTACCTTGTATTTTCCTTTACAACGAGCATGGAGTTGATAGGTATTGTTTAGAAAGTGATGTTTTAAAAACTCAAAGAGAGTATGAAAGTATTAATGTTGAGAAAAGAGAAGAATGGATTAAAGAGAAAATAGGTGATCAATTTAAAGTCAATGATCTTCTTATTCAATATACTCAGAGAGAAGAGAGTAGAATCCGGAAAGAGAAACCCAAGTGTCGCCCCGGAAGAGCGACTAGAATGATATCTAATAATTATTACTATTAATGTATATTAATGTACATAAATTCGTTTATTTTTACATAATAAACGTAGATAATAATGAAATTAAAACTTGTTAAAACGTTAAAACGTCCATAAATTCGTTTATTTTATTTTATTTTATTTTATTTATTTCATAATAATTCATAATAATGGGACAAGTCACATACATAGCGGTCACGATATTCATAATTATGCACATAAATTCATAGATAAACGTAGATAATGATGAAATTATAATAAAAATTAAATGTTAAAACGTACTGTACATAAATTCGTTTATTTTATATTTCATAATAAAATAATGGTCAATGGAACAAGATTTACCCCAACGAGTTCTGAATTGTTCCATGTGCAACCATAATTACCAGGTAAAAATCAATAATTAGCTCGAGATACTATACATAAAATTCGTTCATCTATTTCATGATTATCACGTCAATTCATTGATCAGATCCACGTGACTATGTGACTATCGCGACTATCGTATACTACTTGTATGTCGCACGGATCTACAGTACTAGTCTTATCATTATATCTTTCATTGTAAAAAAACATTCCAAGTATATTTCGAATTTCGATCGTTTGTGAACGTATAATTCTATTGTTCCTTTTAATCTCGCAGAGATAATCAAAAAGAAAATGATATCAATAATACCATAATAATTGTCATTGATTCATTGATTTTTTATTTACGGCACGTGATGTTATGGCAATTTTTGTGAAACCGTTAAAAACGAGAAAAATTGAAAAAGGCTTAGGCAGGAGATCATAGATGGCGTGATACTATTTTCTCCGTTTCTCTGTTAAATAAAAAATAAACAAAATAAACCCAATTTTTTTTTTCACAAAGCTTTAATCATTTGTTTGCTGTTTTTTTTATAATTCATATTTAGAATAATTAATTCAAAAATGGCCTCAACATTACCTTTTGAAATTTTAATAGAGATTTTTAGTTATCTTCATCCAAAAGATCTTTATTCACTTTCATTAGTATGTAAACGTTATCGTACATTATTATGGTCAAAAATATCAACTACAACTCAAGATATTTGGCGTACTTCAAGGATTCGTTATATTTTACATCCAACTTTTGACCCACCCGAAAAGATGTCCGAACAACAATATAATTATTTATTAATGGTTGTGAATTCTTGTCAATTTTGTGGTGAATGTTGTAGATACAAGTTAGCTATGCATTGGGAATTTCGTATATTTTGTTGTCATGATTGTTTATTACAAAGATGTATTAGGTAAGTTTAATAAATTAATTTTATTGTTCCTTTTTTAAAAAACGAGTTGATTTTAAAACAAATCTTTTTTATCTTCTTTACAAATTGCCTACAAATTTCATCAAAGTCGAAATTCACTTATGAATGATTGGAAAGTATCAGGAGAATTATTGGCTTGTTTACAACAAGTCATAACACCTCCAAGATCAAAACAAAAATTATTTTTAGTATCAGATATAATAAAAACATTATCTGAATATCATGATATTGAAGCTGAGAATAAACGATTAATTTGGATACAAGAAAAACAATCATATATTAATAATATGATCAGGGAACATAAAAAATATAAAGCTCAATTTGAATTAATCAGGTATAGTAATAGTGAAAGAATTCAAAGATTACTAAATAGGTTTAAATTTTATAAACATACTTCTACTTTAGTTTAGATTTATTAGATTGAGTTAATTAATAATCATTAATGGATTTTTTTACACTAAAAATAGATTATTTGACTTAACTTTATAAAATTTAAATCAAAGTAATAATGATTTAGTAAACAATTTTTTTGTAGTTTTTTTTTCTTTGTAATTTTTTTTTTCTTTTATAATTTGTTATATATCTTTTTTTATATATATATATATTTAGTTACAATTTTGTATAAAATAAAGTGTATATAAATTTTAGATCAATTAAATTATTATTATTTATTGTATATGTATTTTTTTATAAAATATGAATAATTTTATAGAATTCTGATATTATTTAATATATCAGAAGATTTTGCTACTTTATATAAAAGTACATCAAATTCAATAATTTAACTAATCTAACCAGTTCAGCTAGTCCAAATTTATATACTTAATAAATTAATTATAACAAAAGATATATACTGTATAATAAATATTTATTATATTTTATTTACATATTTTATATAATAATAAATTATATTAAAAAAACTGTTAAAGAAAAGTTTATCTCTTAAACTATAAGGGTTAAAATTAATTTTAAAAATTTTTGAATTTTTAAAATATCTTAAGATCTAGTGATCATAAAAAGATGAAATTATATTTATTACTAGTCATGTATCATGGCTAAGTCCCAACCATTTGTATTTATTTTTCGCATGTATTAATAAAATTTTTTCTTAGCATTTTTCTGAAATCGCACGGTCCTAAAAATCTGGTGACTTTATAACCTATTTCTTTTGGTAAAATGTCATAGTATCTATGTATATTTATATATACTAACTAACTTTTGAATATTTCACTTGTATAAAATTTATCAATTATGACATTCGAGTTTGAAGTATTAAAAAAGCGTATTGCTGAACTTAAGGCTAAGAATGCCGAGCTTGAGGCCAAAAAAACTGAACTTTTAAAGCAGATTATAGAGGAAAATACTAAACGTAATGTTAGAGTTGAGAAACTGGAGCAAAAAAATAAGGAGCTTGAGACCAGACTTGTGATAGTAAAATAGGCTTCCTTACCAATAGAAAAACAGTCGTATAATGATAATCCTTCTAACGATAGTATATCTAACTTTAATTCAGTTGTAAAGTATTATGAGAAACCATTGGTGAATGTGAAAACAAATAATTCCTTTCCTGAAGAAGTTTGCTATAATAAACAAGAACTGATAACAGAGGTGACAGTATCTGTCAACTCTGTAAAATACCTTAATAGCAAATCGTTAGAAAAGAAAGATATGAATAGTTTCTTACTTGAGGCTCATAAGAAAATCATTAGTAGTGAAATAAAGCAATACAATAAGAAGAAATTTCTACGTGAGTCAGCTAAAAATCAAGTCTATTCGAAATTATCAAGTGACAAAAAAACTGTTACCAATGGTAACGATCAAGATTTGAAATTATTACTTAGCATAGGTGATAATGTCCATTAGGGATGGTTAGATCAGTCCTGGTCCGGTCCTGGTCCTGAGACCTATAAGTCCTATTAAACGGACCTGCGAATCAGATCCTGTTAGGACCAGTTCTGAACCTGATCTCTGGACCTGGTCCTGATTAAGTTATTTATAGATTTTATGAATTTAGTAATAACTAAATATAAAAAAAGTGAGTTGCGATATTGGGATTCACTTTTTTATATTGATTTTATATAGAAAAAGTGAGTTGTGTATCGTGATTCACTTTTTTATATTGATTTTATATAAAAAAGTGAGTTGCGGTATCGCGATTCACCTTTTTATATGATTTAATATAAAAATGTGAATCGCAATATCGCAACTCATTTTTTATATGATTTTAATAATATAAAAATTGTATTGCAATATTGCAATGCACTTTTTTTATAATTTATAATTACTTAAAATCAAATTTACAGCAAATTATACATATATAATTTAAACATATAGATCTCTTATAACCTTATTGGCTAGGACTTTTTAGGACCTGGTCTGCTTCTGGTCCAAAATTTGGACTTAAAGATCTGCAGACCAGGTCCTAGGACCAAGTCTTTAGGTCCAGGACCTAGGACTTTACCATCCCTACCTATCATCCATTGAGGATAACCACAAAAATGATCACTTGTACTAATAGCGAGGATGCCCATCTGATGAAATATCTGAGCCAATTGCTACACAACCGCTTGATAGAAATCAAGTCACTGAGAAAATTTTAAAGCATGAACTTTTTAAGCCTATTTCTTCAGTGGTATCAGTTAAACTACATGATGAGTCCATCTTAAACAACATAATTGAGGGCTTTACGCAAAGATTAGCTTATTAGATTGATGAGGCTATGAGAATGGGTCTAAAAGAAATCTTATGCTTATATCATTATTCTCTCGAGTTTGAAAAAAAAGTAAAAAATATTACAGCTGATGGCAAGATTAAAGATAAGACAGCAAGATCAATGATATACAAAGATATGTTACAGTATTTACCTAATGTCACTCTGGATAATTTGCAAATCCAAATACATAGAACTAAAATATTCTTATGCTGTTTGAAAAAAAAGAGGTTGGGATAGATAGAATTAAGTTAGTCACTTGTAACATGAGTGATATTTCTAGATTAACCAATACCCAAATTCAAAATATTATAGATTATATGAATGATCAGCAGGTTCATAAAACCATTACCATTGATAATGATCAGAATCATATGACTTTAGCAGAAACGATTTCATCAGCCACATCTCAAACAAGTAAAACTAGTCTAATCTATAACCGCACATATTTTTGCAACAAGATATTGGATCAATATCCATCTATATAAAGAATTTAGTAGTGAAAATTTTGATTATTATGGGATTATCAATGATACATCATGTGGTCTCAAAAGGACCTGCTCATTATTATGCAGTTTAGATCATGATGATGAGGAAAGTATAGAAGGTAGATATAAGGCTGGATCCTATTTTATTAAATGTAAACAGCACGAAATTGAGATAGTTGCATAGTCTCATTGCTTTACAATAGTCTGGGTAACTCTTTGAGATGATAATCTATCTGTGAATTTTTAATCTTTTTTTAAATGAATAGGTCTATATAAGAAAAAAGGAATTTAAATTGATTTGCAATCATATAAAAGGCAATATGAGCAAGTCCAATAAAGTATTAATCCCAAGTATCTGGATTGGCATGCCAAATTAACTGGTTTACCAAGAGTTTGACGGATAAGATCCGTTCCAACTTATACAAATAATATAAAAGAGAAATGGGACTTGAGCTATGGCAACTATCAGAAGTACATGAATCGGAAGTCATAAATTTGCCAGAAAATAAAGTATCCGATTTATCTTTTCCTTCTTCGGTGAGCAATGTCAAGAAAAAGGGCCTATCACTTTTGAAGCTAGATCCAATCCAGAATTAATTATCAAATCCATCTTAGAGCACTTCCCATACTTGAAATTCTGAAATAGTTTCAGAGGGATTGATAATTATGAGCTCAACATGTCCTATTTGCAATGGAAAACATGGGAATTATGGATTACATGGCTCATGGTACTGCAAAAATGGGAATCAGCTCCCTTATGATCCTGAATTAGCGAAGTTCTATTCTCAAGATAAGTTGGAATATTGTCTTACCTGCAACACTTCAAGCAATAAATAAACTCAAGTTCACGATCGTAATATAGACCGTTCATGTACCTGAAAATGCGCAGTCGCAATGTGATGATGTAATTCTGATCCCGATTTGTGCGAATCATATCCTCTAAAACGTTATTCGAATATAGGTATTTTTTTCGTCAATCATCATTTCGTCATTTGGGGATAAGAATTGCAAAGGATGAAATGTCAGAATGCAAGTTCGTTATAACTGTTATAAAATGGTAATATTAAATGATGGGGATCGTTCATTCTGCAGAATTTACAAGCACGCATATGTATAGAATTTTTATTTTGTATAACTTGCAATGTATAATCTACTATCTATTCATTCATCTACAATAATATTTATGAAAAATTATAATTATTCTAAATTTTCATAATCATGTTTGGAAATATTCATGCAAACCATAATAACTTCATTCACCATCATGGCATAGAAATTGAACCAAGTACATTATTTAATTCCAATGTCCATCCACATCCTAATACCAAATGTTCATTCCAATTAAATTTATAGTAAGTCGCATTGGTACCATTCCAGTAAATAAAATATGGTGCACGATTTGTTCTGACATTTGGAGGATTTTAAGGAGTTGAAGGAACTGATGCAACTCCAGGATTAGGATTCTGAAGAAAAGGACCTTGACAATCGGGCAATGCAATTCAAACAAATTCTATAGCAGGAAAATTCTGCTGAATCACAAAAAGTTTATCAAATGCAAGTTGAAGATAAGGATCAAGGTTATAAAATACCTATCAAGTATTTAGATCTGATGAGCAAAGCCATTTGCAATTTCTGCAAGAATTTAATAAATTACCTCAATATACACATTTGGTGGCAGACATGCATTAGCGATTGGGTTATGCAATTGCTGGTAAGTTAGCCTTTGAAACCAGACACCAACATCTGGTTTATAATCATTTCCCGCCATCACACAATATGTATTAAGTGTTACAAACCAATTTGGATTATATACTCTGCCTGAATCAGAAAATTGGCTTGAATATCTTCTTTATAGCCCCCGTCAATCTAAAATAAAAAGTGGTCAGATTCAAATCAATGATATGTAACTTGAAATAAACTTACTTTGATGAACAAGTCGTTATTAATTATTTCAGGGCCATATTTATCAAGTATCACCTGGCGTACATGTACATCACATTTAACTAGCTCAGGGAGGGTAATCTTGACAAGAGTTTGATTTAGTTTTTGCGCTAATATTTTGTCAATTTTCGTGCAGATCTATTGTATGTAGTCATTAGCCATACTTTGCTATTTTAAAACAGTCTTGAGCATCACTTAAATACTTGGTTAATTTTAGAGGTCTGTCTGGTCTCTCGAGTAACTTGAACGAAGATTTCTTTTGAGCCTTCCGTCGTGACACTCATTATTTGATAAAATTGTTCAAGGTACAGAGAACAAGAGAAACGCAGAGCAAACGGGAAAACAAAAAAAACCATACGTTTCCTTTATAACCGGGCGACTTTTCCATAACTTTTACGTCATTATCATTCCACGTTCATGTGATATTGGCTGGGCTGACTGACGTACTCCTATACATCTAACGTGAGCTTGAAGTCCATTACAAACCTTCCATATAGAGCTTTTAATTCCAGTAATACGTTGTACTTCAGCTAAGGATGAAAATTCCCGTAAAAGAAATCAAAATGCAGGACAATGAGAAAGATTAGAAAATTTCACATTTGAAATAAAATCACATGACTTATTTATTAAGGAAAGTTTATTTTTTAAAATTGGAAAAGATCTTTTCGTCATATTTTTTTCTAGTTCCCAAGTTTTACTAACGTTAATAAAAATTTTGAATGACTTTAAAAGGAAAAATTTAAAAAAATAATTAAAAAAAATTACAAATTAAAAAAACATTTTTAAAAAATAATTTTTTTAAAAAATCCAAATAGAAAGGTCATGAGTGAAAAAAATTTGCATAAATGATATATATTTTTTTTATTAAAAAAAGTATGGTATGAAAATTTTATCTTACACAAAATTTCAATTTTGGTCAGTTTTCGAAATTTTGATATTTTTTTAATGATTTTTGATTATGAGAAAAAGTCATCAGACTTTGTACTTCAATAAAAATTTCTGATAAGATTTCTACTAGATAGATCATGTGAATTCAGTGACAAGTTTACACAATGAAACCATGAAAATTCTTCACGATCAGAGTCATGTAACTTCAAAAATTAATCTGACTAATACATATATTCCTCCGAAAATACCTCAATCTAAGCCAACTTATGATCGATCCTATTTTTGTAGCAAAATATTAGATCAATATCCAAATTTATATAGAGAATTTAGTAGTGAAAATGTTGATTATTATGGAATTATAGACAAGACTTCATGTCCATTATGCAAGTTAGATCATGATGATGAGGAAGGTATAGAAGGTAAATATGAAGCCAGATCCTATTTTATTAAATGTGAACAGCGTGAAATTGAGATAGGTGCATAATCTCTTTATTTTATAATATATTCTATTTGCTTACGCTTCATTGTGTGATATTTTTTAGGGCTAATTATGTCAACTATTAGTCTATTACATAATTTAAATTGATTTGTGATTATAAAAAAAGGCAATATGAGCAAGTCTGTTAAAATACTAACCGCTGATTATCTGGATTGGCATGCCAAATTAACTGGGTTACCAAGTATTTGACAGATAAGATTCATTTCAAATTATACAAAAAATATAAAAAAGAAACTGGCAATGAGCCATGGCAATTTTCAGAAGTACATGGATCGGAAGTCATAAATTCAATGCCAGAAAACAAAGTATCATCTTTTTCCGAGCAATGTGAAGAAGAAGGGTCTATCACTTTTATTATCAAATCCGTCTTAAAGCACTTCCCATACTTGAAATTCCGAAATAGTTTTAGAGGGATTGATAATTATAATTTTGCATTACCTCAGCCATGGAACTCGCCATGCCCTATTTGCAATGGAAAATATGGGAATTATGGATTACAAGGTGAATGGTATAGGAATGGAACAGAATATTGTCTTACTTGCTTCACTTCAAGCAATAAAATCAAATTCACGATCGTAGCATAGGCCGGTCATATGTGACCGATTATTAGAGAAATAAATTATCCTTTCCTAGATTATTTTATGTTGATTGTATAATAGATTTCGATCGCTTACTGCACCACAAATCATATGATATTATATGATATCACAACATTTATCCTTTAATTAATCAGAAAATCACACACGAAGACATTACAAGGTTTTTTGTATCTGTACTCTATAAACATTAATATCAATAAAGTTTTGCCCATAGTTCGGGCATTTATTTTTTACATAAAATATGAGTGTGGGAGTGTGGAATAAATATTATATTTTTGATCATCGCTCTGACAAAAAATAAAGGTATCACTGCCCCATAAGTGTTTAACTTGTAAATGCTGTAAATAAACTGCTTAGTCGCACAATCAAAATTCAAAATATAAAAAACTTCCTTCTACTCTGCAGAAGATAACAATATTTATTTTGCATTTTTTATTACTATTTCGCAAATTTTACTGATTGTTGAATAAAATGAAGAGGATACAAAAATAAGCGATTTTTTAAAAGGTAGTATTATTATTAAAATAAACATCTAAAAAATTGATGTATGATAAATGATCATTAAAGAATGCAACAGCATGAAACTACCTTCCCTGGAGATGCCTTAAAATCAACCACTGATCATTTTATAGAACTAAACAATATATATATCCTTCTTTATGAATAACGTTCTGAACGTTAGCTGGAGGGTTTAAACGCGTTGCTTGGCCACTAAATACTCTCATGACGACACTCTTATTTCTGCCAATGAATTCGTTCAATAGATTTAATTGGTTTAGATCTCCTATCATCTCTCTTAAGTACCTCGACTGGACCGAAAAGTTTGTTTGGTTTAAAATCTCTACCACGATATTTATTGTCCTTACAAAAGTAGGTGGCTTTGGTTCTTCCAGCGGAAGTATTAAGCGAGCTTGCTTTCCTGGAAATATAAGTGGACCAATTCTGCGTGTAAAATGTGTTTCCATCAACATGTCCTGTGCTACTGATAGAGTCACTTCTGCCGATTCCTTAACAAAAACTGTGTGAGTTTAACAACTTTATAGATCAAGCAAAACATTACTAAAAATACCTGTTGATCCTGGGTGAGTAATGCTAGCGCCATTTTCACGTTCACGAGCTTCACGAGCTTCTTGAGCTTTCTTAAATTCTAAGTGTAGATAAAAAAATTTAAGTAAAATTTAATATAAAATCGGAACAGTATCAAATGAAACTTCCAAGTTATTGAGGCATTGAAAAGGTCTAAACTGCGAAATGATCATTATTACCTAGAACCTCTTCGTCTTCTTCGAAGGGGCATCCGTCAGCAAACCACTTTGCTAACGCAAGTTGTTTGTCCTGCTCATATTCATCAGACCCTATTTTATACATAGTTTATAGTTTATGAAAGTTTGAGAAAGCTTATCAGTGACTCATCATCACTGATTCAGTCATATATATATAGTCCACGTTACCTCGTGATGTAAAGTATCATTGTGTAACAAAAATTCTTTGGGAAAAGGTAACTCGCCTATATTAAAACGCCTTATTCAGAAACTATCAACCAATAATTCTGAAGACGATATAACATTACAATCAGCCACCACTACACAAAAAAGAAGAGAAAGCTTTTTGAGGAGGAACAGCTCAAATTATCTCAATTACTAGATGGATATATTGTGTAAAAGTCTAACTATTTCACAAATTACTTATTGTGGTTTCCTGTAATCCTAGTGTCTTATAATTAATAATCATGTATTTTACAGATATTTCGTAAAGAAGGAGGGTGAACTTCCAAGTCACGTAAATGTAAGGTGATTAGTTAGACTGTAGAATTAGACATTAGCATAGATATCATGTATCATGGGCATAGTTCCGAACATTTGTATTTATTTTCGCATGTAAGAATAAAAAATTTTTCTTGGCAAAAGAGCGTAAATTTTTTCATGCAGTCACATAATTTTTTATTACTTAAACATAACATAAATATAATAAATTCATCGCTAACGTAAGGAATGGATCATATTATATATACTATATTAAATGCTTTTAGAGAATCCTGGCCGGATGTAGACACTTCTGTATAAGAAATTTTAGCTGGAAGAATTCGTGAATTGCTCTTATGCCCAAAATGTCACGACCCTATTTTCACAAATCTGCAACAAAAAAATATTACTATTCTTACAGATAGACGCATGGTTTATAGTATTTGTCTAAAATGTCCTACTACTAAAACTGAAAAAAGAAATGTTGTTTCTCAGATAAAAGCTTCACAGGATACTAAACCCTTGAATCATAATTCTGATATGATTGAAACACCTATTATAAAAGAACAAGAAGCCTTAGAACCTATTTCTTATCCAGAAAATAGTACTTTACATAATAATTCACAAAATGATCCAGAATCACGTTCTCGAAGAAACCACCTGCCCCTTGAAATCAGTTCCATTGAGAATGATTTAATATCTGACACTGATATCAAACAGCAAACTCAAGACATTACTAATTTGCAGAATGTGTGTTCTATTGAAGAGGCCCTTCTGGGACCAGATATTTCTTTTAAAAAAGCTTCATTGGAGGATAGAGAGATGAATGCTTTCTTGGACAGAGAATACAAGAAAAAAGTCAGTAATGAAATCAGGCAAAGAAATAGGAAAAAAAAGCTTCGAGACTTAGATTTATCTGGTACTTCTGACATCTCTTCATCAGAATCATCCATAAGTTCGCATCCTATCCCTAATAACCCCATCTTATCAGAACAAAATGCTAAAATAAAAGTACCTGAAATAGATATACTATACATACCACCCAAATTATTTTGGACTGCCGTAATTATAAGTAAAATCACAAATTCAATTATGGCATCCCAAATTATTTTGGCACTTTACATAGTAAATTATATATAAACCGAATGAATTATGGCATCCCAAATTATAATTATGGCATCCCAAAATAATTTGGGCAGCATGTATAAGATATACAGTCTTTGATATAAGAATTGCTCATAGAACTTTTGAAAGAAGATTGTATTAAGATTGTTAATGTAGAGGAGAATCCTGTTGTTGATCAATCGCCTGCAATCAAATTAGCCTATCTATTTCAAAAAATAAAATTTGCTGAAATTAACACTATATGAGCCAAACAAGATGAAATCATGAGCTGGTATTGCTATAGAAGGTATTTTGAAAAAAGACATGGCGAGAATTTACCTGAAATCCTGGAGAATGGTCTTATTATGAATAAAAAAGCCTATGAACTTGCAAGTGGGCAGATTTATGATGAAATGCTACAGTATCTTTCAGAAATCTCTCATGTAACTTGCGCAAAAAATACAGCTAACTAAGCCTATATATATGTTATTTAGTGAAATTGGAGAAGACAAGATTATGCGAATCAAATCCTATAGTGCAAATAAACTCTCAAAGTTAACTGACATGCAAATCGATACTATTAAAAATCATTTTACAACACCGCATAAAAAAAATTCACGCATTCACGTGATTTCAGAAATGATCACTAGTGATGCAACTGTGAATGCCAAATCTGAGGTAAACATTTCAACTGCACCTATTCCTTCAACCCATGTCTCTAATAATTCTTCAAATAATTCCTCTAGAAACGGTCCAGTAGCTGTGAGTATATCAACTGTGCCTCAGGTAGGATCATCTAACAGATACCGACTTCCAATTTCTATTTTACCTGATGATTCAAAAGAGAAACGAAAACATATTATTGGGTTGGTACTAGAACAGTTTCCTTCTCTATATCTAAGTAATAGTAGTGAATGTGATGAGCGATTTGATCTTAATAGTTCAACACTCTGCCTACTATGTAATGGAGATCACAAAGAAGAAAGTTTATGGAAAGATATAAGGGGTGAATGGGGTGCTGGTGAATATTGTGGAGAACGAACTTATCATATCACATGCAAAGATCCTCTTAATCATGGAACCCCAATAGTATCTGTAAAAGTATAGAGGGCGAAAACTTCGTCATGTGAACTGATCACCTGAAATGCGCAGAAGATATCAAAGAAATTCTTGCCGAATTAATAAAATATATCATGTGCAGTAAGTACGTCATCTCTATACTTCTCCTGTGATTTAACTACGCCCTGTGCTATTTCTGCAGTGTTTTTATTTTTAGATCCAGATGTGCTATTTTCGTAATAATAGCTAAGAGGATTGTCTTTATGAGACCCGGGTATGCTATTTTTGTAATAATGAAACCAGGTCCAAGGTCCCGTCATATTTTTGCAAATTTATGGGGTTAGATCGTAGGGATAGATCAATGAATAATTAATTCGTCAACTTTTTTTCCAGAAAGTTCTGGCATAATACACATATTACGAATCTTTGATTTAGCATTATGCGGATTAATCTGACATCCCTAATGTTAGAATGAGATAAGAATTGGAATTGAGCATCTTGATCTACCGATTTACAGATCTCGACCTCTTTTTTTCTCATATAGTTCAAAAAAAAGAAATGTAATGCGAAGTAATACACTTTCAGAGTTTTGGAAAAATCGACTGTCATACTGATAGGGATTTACATGTCATACATCTCGTGTATTCTTGTATCGTATGTTAGAATGAAAATGGAAATTGGGCACTCAAATCAAGAATAAACGGTAGATTTATTTTCTCTATTAGCATTAGCTTAACATTACGCATACTCGTTTTCTGTTTTTGGTAATAATGTCTAATATGAAATTGGGTATTTCAAAGATGGTATGAATATTATTACATTGATCAGTTTCTCCAAAACATCAGATTTTCTTTTAAGCGCTATTATTACAATTCAGGGGAGAGACATTTGTTATTATTGAACGGGATCCAGGCCGTCATTTTATTGCTTTAGGTGGAAAAAATATAATTATGAAAAAATGTAATAATGACAAGTACACATAATGAACACAGGTAAAATGACGATCAATCGGGTACCATCCCGATTGGTATATATTTTTCCAATCAGATTAAATAGTTATCAATTGGATAAAGTTTCAAATCGGATATCAATCAGGATATAATCTGATTTATAAAATATAATTCAATAGGTATACCGATTAGTTTCAATTTATTAAATAGTAATATAATAAAATATTTATAGTAATTATATTAAAAATAAGACTATTTCTATTTATTGGCTAATTTTTTCGATTTTATGAATTTAATTAATCAATAAAAATTTGACTTTATTAAATCACATTACATAATGTTTTGATACAAAGGTGTTATAATACATAAAAAAAGAACAAAAAAAAATGCAATAAGGAAGAATAAAGTGAAAGATCAAGGGAGAATAAAGGGAAGAAAAGATCATAAATTAAAAAGATGGAGATGAACTAAAAAGAAAGTGATGAGAAAAACGAAATGCAATGAAAAATGATGACGAAAAACAAAATGCAACGAAAGGTGATGATAAAAAATAAAATATATCAAAAATTAGTTATTAAGAACGAAATATAACGAAAAGTGATAATGAAAAATGAAATATAATGAAAGATGATGATAAAAAGCAAAATACAACAAAAGGTGATGATGAAAAGCAAAATAAAATGAAAGTTGATGACAAAAAACAAAATGCAACAAAAATTAGTTATTAAGAATGAAATATAACGAAAAGTGATGATGAAAAATGCAAAAATTGATGATAAAAAGCGAAATACAATGAAAGGTAATGATGAAAAGTGAAATGTAACGAAATTAGATGATAAAAAATGAAAGACGACGAAAAAGAGATAGATAAACAATAAAGGATGAAGGGAAATGAAAATGAATAAAGAAAAGTAATAAAATAAATGAAAAGGGATAAAGAAAATAACAGGTAAATGAAAAGAAACAAAGGAAAATGAAAATAAACAAAAAAAAAAAAAAAAAAAAAAAAAAAACTTACCTATTTGAATCCCAAAGCTAAATTACAAAAAAATTCGCGTTTAAATTCCGATTATTTAAAATAGTAATTTTTACATTGTTATTTTTCAATAAATAAAAAGGTTCAAATAATTTTTTTTATTGTTCGATTAATTAATAATTAATAAAGTGTGATTATAAAAAATTATAAATGAAAATGCCTGTTGATTGGAATTACAGAATGTAACAGGATTCCTTTGACTTACTATAAATTTACTAGGTATAAATCGGCTATAAATATGATGAATTGGTATAATACTATCTCTGCCAATTTTATAAAACCTATTTTTCCAAAGCTCTATATTACAAATATTAATATCATTTTCAATCTGACAATAAAACCTTTTTTGATAGTTAGGTGCCGGTAAATACCATTTAACAAAGGCTAATTTATGGGTTTGTTTACCACTTGGAAGATTGACTTCATGTTCAAGTTAATACTGCACTTGTCCAGGAAACACATCAGCTACATTATTATCTTGACCAAATTTTGCAAGAATAAATGAATTCTTATAAAAACGAGGCATATTTGCTGATCCAAAAATTTTAGCACCAATTCAGATACGTCCATACTGATTAATGATTGGCCGAACAACAATTGGACGTCTGGATTGTAATCTGCTTTCTATTGAATCAGCTATAGTAACAAATTCTAAATCATACGCATTATTGTAATAATCTACCAAAAGTTTATATATATCATTTGGCAGAATCACATCTTGTTTTCTTGGTGTCATCATCTCTCTGGGAAACTGTTCACTACCAGTTATTGTATCTTCAACTTCAAGGCTATAAATTAATCTAAATCAGTACAATTCATCCCATTTAAAATTATCATATGCTGATAAACTTCCTGTTGTTGGCTGAGGACCCCGGATATCTCCAAAACAGGTCATAAGTCACACTTTCGGCAGATTGGCCCATTTTTCAGGTGCTCAAAAAATCGTTTTTTGTAAATATCTCGGCATCCAGTGGTCCAATTT